CCTCCTGGCCCAGTGTGAGGGGTGGCGGGGTTCCCAGTGTGCAGTGGCTGCTCCGCAGGTCCCAGCAGGTCCCCACTCAGCCCCAGGAAAGGGGTCCCGTCGTAGCCACTGCGTCAGTCTTCCCACCTGTAACCCCTCATCTCACACTGGGAGGGACAGCCCGCGGGTCCCACATGTTGGCAGGAGTTGGGTTCAGCCCCGCACTTGTGCGCCCAAGCGCTCCTGAGCCAGGCGCCCCTGCTCAGGTTGTCCCCGCCCTCCGTGGCCCTGTCCCCCAGGCGCTCCAGGCCCCAGCCTGCCACGAGAACATGGTGAAGGTCGGCGGCTATATCCTTGGGGAGTTTGGGAACCTGATTGCTGGGGACCCCCGCTCCAGGTGAGGGGGTGAACACATGCACTTCTGAGGGCCCCGGGGTGTGGCGGACCACAGGGGTTTCGGGGCTGGCAGGGGGCTCCCAGGAACCTCCTCGCCCCTCGCCTCGCACCTGGCTGGGTAAGGCAGGACCAACCCTCAGGGGTCTCGGGAACAGCCCCTCTGAGGGAGGCGCCACTTCGCTCCGGGGATTCTGGGAGAGGTGGGTGGAGCCGGCGCCCTCTGACCCCTGGCCCCCCACGCCACGCAGCCCCCCGGTGCAGTTCTCCCTGCTGCACTCCAAGTTCCACCTGTGCAGCGTGGCGACGAGGGCCCTGCTGCTGTCCACCTACATCAAGTTCATCAACCTCTTCCCGGAGACCAAGGCCACCATCCAGGGCGTGCTGCGGGCCGGCTCCCAGCTGCGCAACGCCGACGTGGAGCTGCAGCAGCGGGCCGTGGAGTACCTGACCCTCAGCTCCGTGGCCAGCACCGACGTGCTGGTCAGAGCCCCGCCCCCCGTGCCCCGCCCCCGCCCCGCCTGGCCCTGGCCTGCCCCTGACCTGCCCTGCTGCCTGCCCCGCAGGCCACGGTGCTGGAGGAGATGCCGCCCTTCCCCGAGCGGGAGTCGTCCATCCTGGCCAAGCTGAAGCGCAAGAAGGGGCCGGGGGCCGGCAGCGCCCTGGATGACGGCCGGAGGGACCCCAGCAGCAGTGACATCAATGGCGGTGTGGAGCCCACCCCCAGCACTGTGGTGAGTCCCTTGGGACTGGGCCGCCAGGCAGAGTCCGCCGGGGCGTCACCGCTTCTCACCTGCTCATCTTCACCCTCACTTCCTGCAGTCGACGCCCTCGCCCTCTGCCGACCTCCTGGGGCTGCGGGCAGCCCCTCCCCCGGCAGCAGCCCCGGCCCCCTCGGGCGCAGGCAACCTCCTGGTGGACGTCTCCTCCGACGGCCCAGCCCCCCAGCCCAGCCTGGGGCCCACCCCGGAGGAGGCCTTCCTCAGGTACCACCGCCTGGGACCCTGGGCCGCCCTTTTTCCTCTGTCCCTCCCTGTCCATGTGCCTCTGTCCACCCTGGCTGCCTCCTCCCTCCCTCCGGCCACTCTGGACTCTCAGCTGCCCCAGGCCACCCTTTGTCGTCCCTTCCCGTCACCGTGTCTCAGCCTGCTCTTCCTTCTCTCCTTCCCTCCTCCCTCTCTCTCTGGCCCTCTTGCTGCCTGTCTTGGATTGGCTGCCTGCCACGCCTGTCTTCTCTGTCTGCTCTGGGATTGGATGGCCCAGTGAGCTGGAGCCGCCTGCCCCTGAGAGCCCCATGGCTTTGCTGGCTGACCCAGCTCCGCCTGCTGAGTAAGGGTGGCCTTGGGGGTTGGGAGCCAGCGCTCGTGTCCCTGGGAGGGGGAGGGGCCTGGCGCTCCCATCAGAGTGGTTGTGCTGAGCCGCAGAGGCAAGGACTTGGAAGGGAGTGACAGTCAGGGTCCTCTGATGCCGGGGTTGGGGGGCCGGGGCGGCAGTGCATTGCCAGGGCCCTGTTTCCATCAGTGGCAGCCACCAGATTGCTTCTGGGGTTCTCTGAGATTCTTTGGGGAACCTGGGTATGTGGATTCTGGGGTTCCGTCTCCCTCTGTTAGCTCCCGGTCTTTACCCTTGGCCCCCCCCAGCCCCCTCCCATCTCATTCCTTTCCCGGCCTGCAGCTCAGGTCCCGAGGACATCGGCCCGCCCATCCCGGAAGCTGATGATCTGCTGAATAAGTGAGTCTGGGGGAGCTCGGGGAGGGGCGCAGGGACGCGTGGGGAGCACTCCCCTCATCCCGAGCTCCCACCGCCCCCATCCAGGTTCGTGTGCAAGAACAATGGGGTCCTGTTTGAGAACCAGCTGCTGCAGATTGGAGTCAAGTCGGAGTTCCGGCAGAACTTGGGTGTGTTGGGGGGCTGTGCGGTTGGGGGGCGAGCAGGGAGAGGTCATGGGAACCTTGACGGAGCCCGGCCCCTCCCCACCCCACAGGCCGCATGTATCTCTTCTATGGCAACAAGACCTCGGTGCAGTTCCAGAACTTCTCGCCATCTGTGGTCCACCCGGGAGACCTCCAGACTCATATCCTCTGGCCCCGCCCCCGCCCCTC